TGTTACCACCGATTTGTGTAGTTCGGGAGGGCAGTAACAGAAATATATACGGGTTAATTTATAGAATTTGACTAATAATAGGCAGTAATCGGCAATAAATCGTGAGGAAATGGGTAGGGTTTATCAACAATTAGCAATAGATTTATAAACAATGTATATTTATTGAATGTATAACAATCGGAAATAAAATTGACAATAAAAACAATAACGAAATGTATAAAATTGGAGTGATAGGAGGGTTCTTTATTAACAATTACAAAAGAATTTCCTAATATTACTGCCTCTGCCGGCGCTCTGTAATATTCCCAAGGTTCTATCTAAGTGTTAATAATCGAAAAATCACTTCTCCGAAACCTCAGCGGAATTTCTTCCCTTAAATATTATTCAAAATTTAGGACGATTAGTGCTTTGGCCAACTCGCCCGTTATTCAAATCGTCCAAAGTACAACTCGTTTTCCGGTCAAATCGTCCATTGTACGAATCGCCCATCACAGCCATAATTGATTCCCACCAAGCCATACGCCACATTTCCTATAAACTATATATATAAATTGTATAAATAAACTATATAAATAAAATAAACTATACTATATAAATAAACTATATCAAATAAAAATAAAATAAACTAAATATAAATAAATAAATAAATAAATAAAATATACTATAAAAAAATAAATCATATAAGAATAACTATATAAAAAATTCCCGTGACAATAATTATATTTATCCGCAAAAACATTAAATACTAAACATTAAACATTTTATGATTAGTATTTAAACTAAAAGCAACAGTTGTTTTTTTAAAAAAAAGTTTCGCAAAATTTATATTTCATACTTTTAAATTTTTAATGAGAATATATTTCTTTTCCTTTAATTTGTAATAATTGTGATATTAAATTTACAAAACTTAGCAAATCTCTAGTTTTTAAAATTTCGTTGATAAAAAAATTAAGATAATTTGTAAAATTAATTATACTTTTTGAAAAAACAATATTTTGCACCGTGCTCTAACCCACTTAGGTATATATCTTTGAATCGTAATTTTCTGGTTATTAGTTTACAAAATACTGCTATATATTACAAATATTAATGCTATACGATAAAATAAACTATAGATGAGCCCTATAAAACTTTTAATATTTGCGTAAATGACAGTTGATATATAAATTATAATCTGGCTAGGACCCCGAGGCCCGAGCTATACATAAAAATAAGGTCCTTGGTAGATGAGCCAAAATCACTTCCATTTGCATAATGCCGACCAGCATTACATAGTGCCGGCCCTGTAGAGCTAATAGTAAATGTGTGCCGATCCCCTGGATATATATATAACTCGGGTACTATCTGACTATTGGATTATAATTGTGATTTTTGGAGAATGTAAGATAACGTTAAATTGTTTAAGTTATAGTACCCTAATGTAAAAAATGAAATGATTTATCGAAATAAAAAATGTTATTCTTTTATTTTTATAATAAAAATCAATCATAAACAAGATAGGCATGAACAATAAAGTATACAAGATACTAATTTTAGTTTATCTAACATTTAAAGTTTAGTCTCACCAAATTAGAACCGCCTTGCCTATTGTCAAGAAAGCATAGCCTGACTTCATCGAAGTCCAAAAATCATTAATAAAGAAAAGGGGGAGGAGATTAACCTAAAAAAGGAGAAATAGTATTAAACCCATAATTTATAAAATACAATATTTAGTATAGTGCTCTGTACAGGTCGGGTCAAACCCGGGTGATCGACCTGACCCGAATTTTTACAGCCGTTTTCATAAGACCTGGGACAAAATAAATTTTTGAACCCGACCGCCGACCCACAGAGCCGGTTCAGTTGTTATTTATTTAAATCAGGTGCCCAGCTAAAAATACCGGATCGGTGATCGGCGGATCGGGTTCAAAAATTTAGTTTGTCCCAGGTCTTATGAAAACAGCTGTAAATCGTGATCATTTTAACGCTAACCCGCAACGGCATGAGCCAACCCGTCGGGTTATGGTCGTACTGTTGCTTTGACCCAGATCAACCCAGGTGACCCGGATGACGCGTTTTTTTCCCCATCACTAAGCCACGAGATGAAGTTTTTTTGAGACTATTGATATTGATGAACCAACAACTCAACTCGGAAACAAAAAGCTTTACGTGGTGAGCTTTTTGTAAAAAATCTCTTTGAGGAGAAAGAACTCTCACCAGAACATAAAGATGAAAAACCGCAAAGTCACCTGTCTAGCTGTCCGTAAGTAAAAATTTTAAAATATTTAATCATTTAATATTGACCACTTATATTGTCATTTAATAATTCTTTTAAACTCTAGAGGTAAAAAGACTTGGTTACGAAAAATTTTGTGACTCCAATACGATCAATCTTTGGCGAAATACCATCCAGATAAAGATCCAAAATTAAAATGATGTAACTTGACGATTAATTTTGCTGATCATAAAAAAAAATTTAATATAAATTCAATTTGGACCCGAGTTATCCGCGGAGCACTAGGCGCCATAAAACCAAAACTCTTGTGATAAAAGCTTCTGCCATGTCGCGTCAAAACCTCAAAAATATCTTTATTTTTTATTAATTATTGATCTTTATTATATATAATTAAAGCATTTATATTTTTGTTTTAAAAAAAAAATGAAAAAGGTTTTCACCGAATAGATAATAATTATTTATCATGTGAAACCAGATTACTATTTTTTTTTTTGGAACTATTAAAAATTGGATATTGTTTATAGATCAATTATAATTTTATTATTACAATTTGAAGGTAAATAAGCTAAAATTTTTTTTCAAAAGCAGCAAATTTTACTTAAAAATAATTTGAAATTAAAACGGTGAAATGAATTTAGCCCTTAGTGTTTAAATAATCCAAGATGAAAAATAAATAAATAAATAAATGATAATAATTTAAAATATATAAAAAAAAAAAATAATATTTATCAAAATCCATTTAAAGTTGAAATATAACAAATTATAAATTAATTATTTACGTTTTATTAAGAAATTTATTTTTTTACTTTATAGGTAATTTTTTCATGCCAGTAAAATGGGTTAATCAATTTCATGCCTGTAAATAGTACCGTTAACAACCAATTATAAATGACCTTATGAGCAACGATAAATAATTTGTTTAATTAATTAATGAATTTTATGTGATATTAGGATTAGTGCGGTGATTAATGCATGTACACAGTATAACAATGTTGAATATCGGATATGATTAAAAAATAATGACAATTAGATATGAAATGCACGAAATATTTCATAATGAATCAGCCAATCGTTTTAATATAAACAAGGAGCTGATTTTAGAGGTTCTGCACTATATTATCCATCACGCTGTTGCTGTGAAGGATATATCTTCATGGCTACAAAGTATTGATCCTGTACCATCCGATAAATTACAAGCCCAATATGTTGATAGCCAAACCCCGACTGATGTACCTGATGGAGGTGTTAATCCTTGATCAAAATCCCAGGTCGATGTCAATGGATTTTTTTGATCAGAACTTTTGTCAGCACAATGTTGGTTATTGGTAAATACGGGTTTCTTTAAAATACGCACAGAAATATTTTTGTTATTTTTACTATAACCAAAGGTAAAGTGACCGAGTGCGTGGGTATATTGCTCATTTCCTTCTGCATCTTTTTGAATGATATTAGTCGTAACTGATATCTTACCCGGTGAAAATGTCACATTTTGAATCTGAGAAGCTGAGGAATTAATTTTTTATTAGTAGAGTTGTTGAAAAAATAATAAATTAAAAATTATTTGAAAATTAACATACCATCAGTACAATAGTCATACCCGGTAGGATGACATCCGTAAGTTTTTTCAACATTGAGGAAGAATACAAAAAATAAAATAATAATGTAATTATGATTCATGATGAAATTATGATTGTTATGAATGACCTCAAATTTTACCCATTATCGTATAAGAGAGTGGACTTATTTATATCTTTTGCTTAAGACAATCTTTTTCTGTGAAAGAAACTTCTATCAATATCAATCCATCCATCGTGATTTCTCGTATACCATTAAAAATTATGGATATTAAATGACTACATTGAAGTATAATGTCCGACATCGGGATATCAAATATAGATAAATTCCGTGGCAAATGAGCTAATACTAAATTAGGATCTTCGCCTAATTTCTATTCAAAAATTCTTCCAATTAAAATGATTACCGCGCAGTCGTAATTTTAATTCTCTTTATCTGCTGTATAAAAAATATGATAAATTCTGTCTTCTCAAAATAAAGCTTATTATAATAATTCATCAACAAATTATGGTAATGATAACAAATGCAAATTATTAAAAGCAAGATATGAATTATCGCTATTTACCGTATAAAAAAATGTTTTTTTAAAAAAAAGAATATACAGTTCTTTTTTTCTAAAGGTTATAACGTGTGTTTTAACCAAACTAATTTTTTTTTTTCAGTATGAAAAAAGTGCAATTTTTGTTCTCCGTATTAATAACAAAGGGAATACAGCTTTTCTTTCTAAATTTTTAATAATAAAAAAAAAACGTGTTTCTGTATTTTCGTGACTTCGTGACTCGTGTTAAAAGGAGATATGCGGATTATGCGGAATTTGTGCAGTTTCATAATTTTTAATTCAATTCTTAAATGGAAAATGCTAAGGGCAGTGTTTAAATTACATAAATTACATATTATCCCCTGATCGGCACCATTTACACGATTATGCAAATGTAGTTATACCTACTGCTGGGTAGTAAATTTTATATGTATTTATCCGTTTCTAGGAAATTTTGCAGTAAAAATTAACTATTGATTATAATGGGCTGATTTGAAAATTTGAGTAATTCAGAAAGATTTACATTTCCAAATAAGAACTTACTTTTAATTTATTTGTAATCTCAATATTATTTTTCAAATGTAATTAATAATAATAGTTCCGAAGCTTTTTAAAATTTAATTATTTTTTTAAAATCTTATAAAATGAAAAAAACCAAGCGAAAGTGAAAATTGAGATTCAATAATAAAATATACTATATTATACTCACAATATACTATAAACCACTGGGAATGAATCAGTTATATCCTAGCTAATTGGAATAATAAAATTTTACCGATCATTTATTAGCTGGGATATAATTAACCAATAAAAGTGTTTAATTTTGTGTCACGTAAGATTTTGCTTAACCCCGCCCCCCTAAAATATTATCAGTTCTGTTATGGCCCTAATTAAGAATTAACCATTGTAGAGCTATCATATTAGTTAAATGTGTCCAAGATCTACGTAAAAAGAAAATTCAATTTATGAAAATCATATGTTAAAATTACAAAAATTTAAAAGAATTCTAATTAAGTAATTACAACGACACTGACAATCAAAATCTCATGATAATACAAATTCGACATTTCACAATCTTGACAAATTTTAATACTGAAAATTAAAATTCCACGACATTTCACAATCCTGACAAATTGTAATCCTGAAAAATTAAAATCTTACACTCATTATCTTTGATACTTTAAAATTTGATTTAAAAACCTTCAGATATTAAAAACGTATTTTAATTGTTACTTAGTTCTTTAATAAAAAACATTAATTCTTGCAAAACATTTAAATTAATATTTCGGGATTTTTTGAATTTTCGGGATTATGATTGTCAGGGTTGTGAACGTGAGGTTTGTATTATGACGGGAATTTTGAATGATCCCGTGTTATCTTATTGAATTGTGATTGTGTACGTTTATTTCATAATAGTATATAGTATAACGAAAGTCCCATTTTGCTGGATCTATTTACTACGAAATCCCGACTTTCAAAATCCCGTTATAATATAAACCTCAAATTGTAATCTCGAAAATTCAAAATTCTGGCACTTATTAAGTTGGTATTTAATATCTTCATAGAATACAATTTATTAAATTATAATCAAAATAAAAGAAATTAAGTATAAAAAATTACATTAATTAATAAACTCGGAATAAAAACTTTTTTAAATGTTAATAAAAATATTAATCTTTACGTTAATTTTTGCGAAGTATTTACGGTACATGTTAATAAAATATTTGCGACATATTAATAAAATATATTAATTTTTACATCAAAAAAATTAATTATTGCAAAATACTTTAAAATCAATAATTTATAAAAATATTAATTGTTACGTTCTAAAGTAACATGGAAATGAGTGATATCTGCGACCAATGGCCAATCCGTGAAGATTTTTTTTTTCTTATAATACTAACTAGTTTTTTTTTATTATATATATGTTTTTTTCGGTCTTTTCCGACCCCGCTCAAGATGTGTGATCGGCTGCAACAAATCGCATCACCGAAATAAAAAAGTTTTTCGGTTTTTAAAATCTTGATTTTTTTTTTTATTATTAACTTGGTAATACGTTATCAATTTATTTGTAATAGATGCAGAACTAATACAAAGGAAAATTTACATTTTTTTTTTCTAATATATTAAATATAATAATTTCATATTATCACGAATTATTTAAAGCATTGAATTAGAATATCTTAATTTGTAAACCTAAAAATCCACTTTATTAAATTTTTAGCAATCTTTTTCTGTAATAGTACACTAATTACATTCTATTTTATTAAAAATGAAAATTTTTAATTAGTCAAAATAATTTATTTATTTTTATTTTTACTTTAGAATTAGTTCTCAGTTTAAGGGAGGAGTGTGATCACGTGATTTTCGATATGAATATCGTGGAGCAAAAATTTGAAATACTAAAAGTCCAAAAAATAATTTTTACAAGCATTTTTCGATGTTATTTTTGTAAAAATACATGAAACCATACTTATAAATTATATGTACGTACTATAATAAATTGACAATAAAACTTTTAAAAGGTATAAATAGGAATTTTAAACTTTCATAAGGTAATTCATAAAAATTTTACCTAGTGAGATGTCAGGTTCCAAAAGTGGAATATTTAGTACTTTTTACAATGTTTATTAGACGTGTGTATTGATTACTATAAGAACATAGTAATGAATTGGGCGGGTACCATTTCATCATCAACATTACTTGTAATTAATTAAACAACATACATAAGTGTCTGCAGCCATCAGTATACGTATGTCATCGTTGGCAGTCTACTACACCGATTTCGACCATAACAATTCGCCATCCTGCTATTACAGTATTAGTCTTGGACACACCAAACCCTACAATGCGCACCCATTCATACGTCCATCCGTTCTGATCATCGGGATTTTGAATGGTTTTCCATTTTGATCTATTATTGCAAACTATTTATAGTTTATATAATAGTATACATAAATGATTTAAGTATTCTTTAAATACTATTTTAACATAGATCTCTTTGTACTACGAAGTTTTTACCAGAAATACCTTTGCATTACATACAGCTTTTAAAGACTTAAAAATAATAAAATTTAGGTCTTTTATAAGTTAAAGGTCTTGAGATTCACGTGAGCAAGATTGGAGGCTTTGGAGTCAACCATTTCTTTTGAAACACTTTTGTGAAACCTCAAAATTGGCGTTGCGATATAGTTAAACTTATTTTTGTAATTTATAATTTTGTAATAAAATTTTAACTTTAGGATTTAAAAAAAGAATCTGAATCGTCATAAATATTATCAACTACAAATTTTATCTTGCACAAGTTAATTATGAAATAACCTTTTTTACTCTTTTATATATTGAATAATATAGGTCCAGTAATGATTTATTAAATAAAGAATCACGGAAAATGAATACAATGAAACAAATATTTTACAAGTCGTAGTAAAGGTGTTGAAAATACAACTTATTGATGCGTCAAAAAATCAGAGATCTAGCATTACAAATAAATGAACCTACTGGTAAGTATAAAATGATAATTTAACATTATTTATTTCGTTAACCAACTTTATATGATTTGGATAATACTTAGTGATACCGACTTAACTGATTGGTTTTAACAGAATTACAGAATTATAATAAAGCAAAAAACCAGTTTTAAATGGATTGGAAACTAAACGTACCGCGTTGTTGGAATAGTTTATTTTGATATATAGGTTCTCATATCAGTCATATGATATCAGTCATATGAATAAAAGTTAACTTATGCAAAAAAATTACTCATGCAAGTATTATTCATTAGTATTTTTTTTTTTTTTTTGGAAACATTTGCAAATTTTATTTAATTTTTAATAGCCAATTGAAATCTAATGACAAAATAAATTCAGTAAATGTAAGGCCGCTTGATAAAGTTCAAAAAAAAAAGAAAAGAAGCATAAACAATCCGATGAGTTAGAAGTATAAAATATTTAAAAGAGCGAGAACATCCGGAAATTATCTTAGATGTAAGAATGTCCTGCGACAGGATGTAATCCTATGTAACGTCGGATGGTTAAAAAAATTTCCTGACGGAAAAAAAATTTTATTTAATAAAATAAATATTTTGTAAATATTAAATATTAAAATAATAAAACTCTGCACAATAAAAATGACAGAGGCTCACAATATGTAACATTTTTGACTAACGAATAACGATTAGTCTCATTTTTTTCCTGCATTTTTGTTTGATGTTACACAAATTTCTTTAAGTATTTGTTGTACTGTACATCATTGTACATCATCACGACATCCGGTCTAGAATTATATATGGTCCTTCGTTACACTTCGGACGATTGATACAAAATTCTTTTCTTTTCCAACCACTTTAAACATAAATTAACTTTTACAATAAAAAAATTTTCTGTACTTAAAAAAAATATCGATATTTTACAATGTCTAACGACATAGAAATTAAAATTATTGATAATTCAAATGAGTGGATTAATTGGATTGAAGAGTCTATTACGAAAAAGAAAATTAAATATTATGATTATAAACATTTTAATCATATTCAAGAAATTGGTTTTGGAAGTTTTGGAAAAGTTTATCGTGCAAATTGGAAAAATTCTCATAGTTACTTAACATTAAAATCTTTTTTTGATTTTAATATCATATCTAAAGAAATTGTTAATGAAGTAATAAAATAATTATTTTTATCTTTAACGATATTCTAATATATTCTAATATATATTATATTTCTTAATTTATAATTTTTATTTATGATTTAGCTTAAACTTCATCATGAAATAAATTTCCATGAGAATATTGTTCGTTTTTATGGTATTACAACAGGTATTATGAATATTTTAAAAACATTATTTTAGTTAAATTTCAAAAAAAAAAAAATCTAAAATATTTTTTTTTTTTTTTTTCTATCAAAAGAAAATCAAAGTGATAATTCCAATAAATATTTATTGGTGATGGAATATGCAGATAGTGGTACCCTTCGANTTACAACAGGTATTATGAATATTTTTTTAAAATCATTAATTAAATTAAAATGAAAAAAAAAATTCTAAAAATAATCATTTCTATCAAAAAGAAAATCAAAGTGATAATTCCAATAAATATTTATTGGTGATGGAATATGCAGATAGTGGTACCCTTCGAAAATATTTATGTGAACATTTTAAAAATCTCACTTGGAATAATAAGTTAAATTTGGCACTTCAATTAGCTAATTCTATAACATACTTACACGATAAAGAAATTGTTCATCGTGATTTGGTAAGTTTTTAATATATTTATTTAAAGTTTATTAAATTATTCTATAAGATTATATATATATAATAAAATTATTTATTTTATTTTATTACATTTAATAATAGCACTCTAATAATGTATTGATTCATAATAATACCATCAAATTGGCTGATTTTGGACTATCAAAAAGGATTGTAGAATCATCCAATATTCAATCAAAATTATCTGAAATGGTCACTTATATTGATCCACAAATATTTAATAGAAATAACAATCAATTACAAATATATTCATTAAATAAAAAGAGTGATGTTTACAGTATTGGCATACTCTTATGGGAAATATCTAGTGGCCAGCCACCTTTTTGTAATAAACCATATGACATTAATTTGACTATGGAATTATCACAAGGTCTTAGAGAAAAACCCATTCCAAATACACCTGAAGATTACATAAAAATATATACTGGTAAATACAATTAAATTTTACTTATGATTTAAAAAAAATAAAAAATTAATTATAGGCTTTTATTTCATATTTAGATTGCTGGAATAATGAACCAGATAATCGTCCAACTATCAACCAGGTTGTTGTTAAATTAAATGCAATTATTTCAGATTTTCAGAAAAATGATTATAATGCAGATATTCAATTATCAAGTAAACAATCACTTAAATCAAATAATGAGGTTCCTGAAAATATTATTAATAATTCATTACATGAGAGAATGTCTCAAATTATTCAAAATTTTAGTAAGATTCATATAAAAGAAATAGAACCTTTAATTTCATCAAATCTAATTACAAATGACTTTGAGCCAATGGTTAATGAAATAACTTTTCTTCTTGAAAATATAGAAATAGAAATGAGAAAATATAAGATTGTTAATTATCTTAATAATCATGATATAACTTCACAAGAAATTTATTATTGGTTATTAAATAATCAGAATGATTCTAATTCTGTTTATCTACTTGGAGCATTTAATCATTATGGAATTGAAATTAATGTTAATAAACAAAATACATTTGAATTATATCAAAATGCAGCAAATTCAGAGAATGTTTTTGGAATAATTAGTTTAGGATATTGTTATGAAAGAGGAATTGGAACCGACATTGATAAACAAAAAGCATTTGAACTATATCAAAAGGCTGCAAATTTAGGAAGTGCACGTGGAATGTATAATCTAGGAAATAGTTATATAGATGGGATTGATGATCAAAAAGCATTTGAATATTTTCAAAAATCTGCAAATTTAGGTAATTTACTTGGAATTTGTAATTTAGGATGGTGTTATAGAAATGGAGTTGGAACCAGTATTGATAATCAAAAGGCATTTGAATTATATCAAAAGGCTACAAATTTAGGAAATTATTTAGCCCAATATAATCTTGCTTATATGTATGAAAATGGAAAAGGAGTTGAAAAGAATATAAATCAAGCAATTTATTGGTATAAAAAATCTGCTGAACAAGGTTATCAAGATGCCTTATATGAATTAAATGAATTAAATGAATTAAATGATGAATTAAATGAATTATATGAATTAGATGAATTATATGAGTCAGACGGATTATATGAATTAGATGAATTAGTACATGAATTAAATGAATTAGATGTATTAAATGAATTAGATGTATTGGATGAATTAGATGTATTGTATTTTTAAATAATTATTTAAACATATTAAGCTATAAATTATATATGTATTCCATGGTTTTTTTCATGATGTAATATTCAGAGGATTTATAATCATGGTTTGCTTAATAAATATTTTAATAAATCTTAGCTTGGATTCTTAAAATATAATATATTAATGTAATTTGAAGTTTAATTAATTGTATAATAATTATTTTTAAAATCTTTTCTTTTTCCCTCAAGAATCAGGCACATATAAATTAATTTGTAAATTGCTAAAATTTTTTCTTTTATTTTTTATGTTTTTTAAAAAACATGATTTTTTATTTTTACCCTAGGCCTAGACCCATTCATCATGAAAAACCTGGGAAGATATTAAGATATAGTTGACCACCTGTTCTGAAGATTCGTCACTGTTGAGCGTAGACAAATGGTGATCGCAGCTCCGGACTATACAGACATGCTATATTTCAAAAAACGATAAATATTTATAACAATGAGATACATGATCATTTGATGCTAACAAACTAATTAAGTTAAAACTATCGCGTAAAAAAAATAAATTGATCGTGATACAGTACATGATTAATCATTTGTATAATGTAACTTCCCTCAAAAGTTAACGTCGTATTTCATTGGACCTGTTGTTTCATTTTTGCTTGCATAAATCGAACTTAGCCATGCTTACTATCTCACATTGTTTTAGGAATTCTTACTAAAATATGTTTATACAACTTATTTGTTGATTATTCTTTCTTAGTGTATTGACCATCAGGTTGTGAATGGCATGTGTATTGTGTAAATAAATAAAATCACATGACCTCATGAAAAATTCACGCACTTTTAATAACTGAATTGTATTAATGTGATAATTATCAGAGGTATGATAAAAAAAATAATAATACTGATGATATGAAATGTTAAAAACAATATTGTAATCAATTAATCATAATGAATCAGTCAATCGATTGTTACTATAAGCAAGTAGTTGAATATCATCATAGAGTACTACACTACTATATTATCCATCCATCACGTTGTTATTGTGAAGGTTATATCTTAATGGTTACAAAGTATTGATCCTACACCATTCGATAAAACCAGGTCGATGTGTATGGATTAACTTCATTAGAACCTTTGTCAGCACAATGATGGTTATTAACAAACCTGGGTTTCTTTAAAATACACACACTGACATTTTCGTCATTGTTATGATAACTACCGAGTGCGTGGGTATTCATTTGCATTATTTTGAATGATATAAGTCGTAACTGATTTGCCCGAAGAAAGTGTCACATTTTGGATCTGAGAACTTATATAAAAAAAAAGGAATTAATTTTTTTTATTAGTGAAGTTGTTGAACAATAATAAATTGAAAATTAACATACCACCAGTAACCCATTCAGGATGACATCCGTGAGCTAAAATTGTACGCAAATCAAAACTTTACTCCGTCTAATTCCACTATGATGGCGACGCATCTGTGTACCATACCCCTGTGTATATATTTCTGGGTCCTGTTATACACGAATATAGAATATTTAATTTCCCAAAATGGAGCTTATTAAATATACTGTGTAGATAATCTATCGATAAAATATTATAAAGATAACAAATGCAAATTATTAAAAGCAAAATAATAGAAGTGATTTCTTTATAATTTATCGTTATTTTACCATTAAAAATCAAAAACAAATAACTTCATCATTCCTTATAAAAAAATTTTTTTCAATATTAATTTCCAGATATTTTGGAAAATCATTGAAAACATTCCGGAAACATTGTGAATTAGTCAAATTTTGAAATTCAGTATAAAAAAATTTTCTATAAAAATTTGGTTTTACTCCGAAAATTAAAATTGACTTGAAAACAATATAATAACATAAACCGTAAAATAGTGTGCTTATTTTCTACTATTTCAAGAAATCCCATAAAAAGATCAATGATTTTGTGCATTACACAGCAATTTTTGAACAAGGAGAAATTTTCAAGGATTCAATAAAACCCATTGGTCTTGAAAAATAGAAAGGTTCTTAATTGTCACTTAATTGCCACTTTGCGTAACTTGCGATTACTAAGTTAAAAAAAAATATCTTTTCAGTTCCTAGTTCATAATAGAATAATTATCTTAAGATTTTTATTAAGGGGTCTGGTTCATTTTACTGACAAACGCTTCATTGACGTTTGCTTCATCGGTCATTTTGCTTATTTTAAATTATTTTCTTTTTGCTCATCCAATAATGATATGCGATATTAATTTGAGGGGTTACGATACAATTTACCGACAACCACTTCACCGACAAATGTTTTCGGCGAACGTTTCACCGATAGACTACCAGAAAATATTTTTTAGATGAGTTAGTAAATATTCATATTTTTAAATACTTATATTATTCATTTAATAAAATGATTTAATTTAAAATCCTTGTTGCTTTATTATATCTTTTCAAATTTTTTCGTTTCACTTATTCACTTATTCACTTTATACAAGTCACATCATTTGAATCAGCCATGATTAATAATTCTTCAGATACATTACTATGGATTTTTGTGTATATTTAATCAAAGAATTTAAGGCTTTAATTATTACCATATCTATTTATGCTACAAATTGGTATATTCAAGAATATGGTTTAACTAGTTTAATGGAACGTTTATTTTGAAAGAAGAAAAAGAACGATATACAGTATGAATAGAGTTATTGCATACAGCTTAAATTCTAAAATAAAGAATAAATATATCTTTAGTCATATCTTGATGATAGCCATTAAAAAACGTATTATCTTTTTTTTTATTTAAATAAAAAGCTACATATTTAACAAAATAACACAATATTACTAAGTTGATATTAAATGTAACCTCGGAGTAAAAATCTATATCCCAGTTCACATCTTCAACTGCCCTTCAGAATTACCCTGATTAATAGCAATAATTGCATAAGAAGTAAGAATTTCACCTGGCGCCAACGTTAAGACACCTATTTTAAAGAAAAAATGAATTGATAACATGCCCTACAAAATTTACAAAATTTTTAGTCACTATCACCTCATACCATATGAGGTTTACCACCCTGTTAATTATGCCTAAGCAGGGAACCCCAGGACACCCATGTGGCCAACATAGGATCTATGGTAAATGGACTCATATAGTATTCAATAACAATTACTAAGTAAGTGACATGGCATAGGAGATATGCGTCATTTCCAACGGGAACCTGGCCTTCCCTTCCATATGGATCAGCTTGGGGATCACCTATATGGCATCATTGTAGCTATGCCTTCGTGCACAAAAGCAGATAGCTACTAGCCTGTAGCAAATGGTACGTACTACGAGCACATAAACCCCTATGTCAATTATAACAGTTCACCATCCGGAAGACTTTCAGTGAACCCTGCAGTGTTACACCTACACATACGTCCATCCGGTGAACTATTATAATTACACTTACCACTTAATGATATGACCTAGCCTCGTTTAGTGTTAGCTTGTCCACTATCGAAGGAGCTCTAGTAGTAGAAGAGGGATCCGCAGGAGAATGAGAAGAAACGGAACCAGAAGCTGGAGCGTGAATAAAGGCTTCAAGAGAAGAGTTTTCCGGAGCGGTAAGTTCGGCGGTATTTTGAGTATTCATTACTTCCTATACAAGCTCTATTGAGAAGTGAAAACAAGTGAATATTCACGATGCGTAAATACAGTAGGTACCAAATTTGGCAAGAACCACAAAACGTCTAAACTGACAGGAGTAGTTAGAATGGTTTTTCACTTACAAACAAGTTTTTAATAGCTAATGAAACTTATTACCCATATGTTGTCCAAAGGCAGTAAATACAGTTCTTGATGTTGATATATCTTTTTTTCCGTCTTAGTATTTACTTGCGCGTGAAAAAAAATTACTTGCGCGTGAAAAAAAGGTATTTCTCTTGCGCGTGAAAAAAAAGATATTTACTTACGCGTGAAAAAAAGGTATTCACTTGCGCGTGAAAAAAAGATATTTACTTACGCGTGAAAAAAAAAGGTATTTATTTGCGTGTGAAAAAAGGTATTTGTTAGATATTTATTTGAAAGAAAGTATTTATAAAAAAAGTATTTAGTTGTGTTTGAAGGAGGAATGAAAGAGATGGAGGAGAGATATGTATTAAAAAAAAGAAAAGAACTGTATAAATATTATTTTTTTTTTGTTGTACAATGATCATAGAAAAAGTATGATCTCAATATCTGCAATCAATTAAATCAATTATCAATACGTATGGTTATATTGTAGCTTTTAATTACCTAATCATGACGTATTTACCTTTATATATATCTTTTTTTAACTTTTAACAACGCCACCGATTTTATTAAGTATATCATAATCATTTATTACTTTAAAGTAGGTAATATTCTTTTTACCATACAACGATTTACGATATGATGTAAAACTTCAAGAGAGTTGTCTTTAAGAGATTTAAATGGCGTATGAAAAAACTTTTATTCCTTAAAAAAATTTGTTGAAAGAGATGTTTTTTTCAATGGCTGACTACCACCTTCGTAGTGGATACCATTCTTGCTGAGTTTTTTAGTGCCTAGACTACGTATATTACACTCATACATTGATACCAATACTTTGAAGTTTTTAAATAATTCCTAATATTAAGATACGTTTAGCAATAAAATGATAATTCAATTAAAAAAATGAGGAATTGTAATATAATAAATATCACGTATAGGCATTATTTATCACATGATAAACAATTGATTGATCATTTGATCCTATACAGAAGTAAGATGTTGAGAATAAACAATGTTAATAAAATAAATATATTATTTATTATTTCTGACCAATGATGACATTACTTCTGTTCTTATATTTTATTTTAATCCTTGCTTAATGTCTCGTAGAACATCTTATGATAAATTCTTTGAATATTCTTTTTGAAAATAAGACGGTCTTCTTGGCATACTTTAAAGACAAAGCTCAGCTGGACGATGCAATTGCTCTGGATGGAGATACAGATCAAGCCTGGGTCATTCATGGGAAGCGTCAAGACAGTTCTACGGCGGGCTCTCCAAGGGAGGGACTTGCCAGCGCTCTCATCAGTACGGTTCCGAAGGGTGACAACAGAGGGAAATCAGTAATTCAAAAAATTCAAAACTCAGCAATAGTAACGCTGGCAACTTTTAAAGAACCAACTACGGAAGAGGTGGTTGATACTGTAAATAAATTTAGAAAAAACTTGCTGAATGAAGTGCAAGTCAAAACGGTGTTGATTCCATTAAAAGACTACACTTCTCCAGGCAACGTGGTGAGAATAATAGAGGAATATAGAAAAGAAATAATGGTAGAACATGAAAAGATTTCACTTAGTGATACAATAATGATTGATTCATCAACGACAAATGATGCTGCCGAGAAATTGAGTCAATGACGTGAAAAATAAAGCTAAAAGTAAGTTAGCAGAAAAAGAAGTCAAAGATGCCAAAAATAAATTAGTGAGCACTGGGAACAGCGTAAAGACAGTTACGCCTGGGAATTGCATGAATACACCAACGTCAACGCTAATTGTACTGAAAGGCTACAAAAGAAAAGTGAATATCCGTTCACTTTAACAAATCGTAATCCATTTGTTGTATCGCCGGATGATGGATCTTCGCAGCCTACGTCGTCATCATCATCGGATGATCAAGAATATATAAAAAGCGTATAAAGAAAAACAGGGAACAACGCAGCGATGTTGAATTTGAGGAATCAGAAGACGGTTTAAGAGAAGTTAAAAAAGAAAAAACACCTTGGGCCGGAAAACCTGGAAGTAGGATGGGCCAAAAAAAGAAAAAAGGTAAAAATAAAAAGTAGTTTAGAGATAGTGTAGTATAGAATAGCGAGATATACTCATATATGTAGATAGCTCTAGATAGGTTGGCGTAGTGGTTAAAGGTGTTAATCGGGGACGGAGTGGCTTTGACATGCATGGAGAGAGCGAGTGGGTTTAGCCTGCTCAATTTCAATGGGTATATTGAGATTATTTTATAGCTTGTATTTGTATTTGTGCGCAATATACCATTTACAAGGGTATTATAATTAATAAATATGCGTTTGTCATCGTAATAAGAAAAAAAAAAAATTCTTTGAATATTTCTCTTATATGTTTATATGCAGCTATAGCTTATCTAATATAAATAAATGAAAAAAAAACTTATTAAAAAAATTTTATTTTTTCGGGTTTGAAAAAGAGGACCAAAATAGAAAAAAAATATTGGATGATGCGATCAGCCGCAGTATATCGTGTTTGCCAAGGCATTTTTTTATTATTTTTTTTTATTTCCAGTTTTTTTTTCAAAACCAGAAACAACTGTATTGTCAAAACAATTGTATTGTCAAACAATTGTATTATGCAATATACTATACTCCCTAATTATCTTATTATTAGTCACTATGTATTCGAAAAAGTATTTATATACCCTCAATACCCCTTTTTTTCATCCTTTTTTTCATCAGCTATATACACAATATATACTTTCGTCATCTTTTTTTTTCGAGGTATATCTTCTCTCCGCCTAGGCTTTTCTTTATTATATCTTCTATCTCTTAGGCCCTTTTCTTTACGTCTTCCTTTAGAGAATGGGTTGGGTTTTGTAGTGGTTTTGTGTGTCTTTTTTTTTAGGACTATCTTCTCTCTGTCTAAGTTTTCTCTTATTAGGTCTTCTTTTAGACCCCTTTTTTTCGTTTTGTCATCCTTTTTTTTGTTTTTTTGTCCTTTTTTTTTGTTTTATCATCCCTTTTTTGTTTTTTCGTCCTTTTTTTCATTTTTTCGTCTTTTTTTCACTTTATCATCTTTTTTCTTTCGTTTCATCATCTTTTTTTTGTTATCTTTTGTTTCGTCATCTTTTTTTTGTCATCTTTTTATCTTTTTTTTAGGTCTATCTTCTCTCTGTCTAGGTCTTCTCTTTATTAGGTCTTCTTTTGGCCAAAGGTATTTTGAACTGTTTTTGTAAAGCTATCTGGTGAAGGTGAACAAGTGGATGCAATGATCAAGGAAGTTACGGCAACCTTGTGAGCTGGCAGGTTTATCTATGATAACTCTGTTAACTGACGGACCTGGCTGAGATACGAATGAGATCTTCTCAGTGTTGAGGTCTACTATTCCGCAATGAGGAATAGTTAT